TTTTTTTTTTTTTGGCGGAACCGGGGATTGAACTCAGGCCCCTGCGCTCGCCAGGGAAGCGCTTATTCCACTGAGCTATTTCCCCGGCCCAGTCCAAGGATATCAAGATCCTGACCAGTTGTGCTTATTGTGTTCTGCTTTTACAACTGTGTGGATTTCATATACCTGTGGACATGTAACTTGGAATAGTCTTGGAGCAGCAGTGTAGGCAGTGTTTGGTTCTGCAGGTGATGTTATGGGGGAGTGGTGGCCATTGTTTTGCAGCAGTAATACTAAATAGCACAAGACATAAAGCCAGGTGTGGCAGTGTACACCTGTGATCCCAGCGCTTAAGAGGCCAAGGCAGTAGGATCACTTTGAGTTTTCAGATCAGCCTGGGCTACATAGTATGTTCAAGGCCAGCTTGCACTGCATTCTCAGAAAAGAAAAAAAGGGAGAGAGAAAAACGTGACTACTGGTGACTATGTTAGGAGGGAGCACAACGGAAGACAGAAGTGAAGCCAAGGTCAATGAGGTGGGGTGAAAAGGAGACCAGAGACAAGGTTATTCCTAGCTACATGTGCAAAAGGCAGGGCTAGTGAGTCTGAAGGGGACAGGTCAGAGGGCAGGATGCTATGGCTAGACTGGAAGACTGGTGCTGTCAGCACTCAGGAAAAAGGAGAGTCCAGAGGGCTGAGTCCTGGGGAGCATAAGGGTGAACCATGTTCTGGAAAGTGGTGCTTTTATCAGGCAGACTTCCTCAACTGGAGGTAACAGAAGAATTCCTCTTGGACTTCAGTGAGTCCACTCATCTGGCTAGATTTTTATTAATGTTTTAAATGTATGTTCTCTTAGCCATCTATATATTTTTTTGGTTCATTATCCTTTTAGTTCCCTTTCCAAAGTCATTTAAAAAGAAAAAATTGGAAGTCTAGCCTCGTCTTGTTGATCTTGGATGACATGGAGCTTTCTGTACCGTTCTTTAGGACCAGTAAGGAGCTAATGCGGCAGTAGTTGTTGTAAACTAGAGAACTAGAAGGTGAGGGCCTCCCCAGGAGGAAGTCGCTGGATGAGGAAGGCTCCGTAGCGCGCCCGCCTTCTCTGTGCGGCTCACTGTGCTCTCCTTTGCCCGCAGATTGAAGAGTGTGTGGTGTGCTCTGACAAGAAAGCAGCTGTTCTTTTTCAGCCCTGTGGACACATGTGTGCTTGTGAAAGTAAGTCTTTCTGAAACATTCTCCATGTGATTATAAGAACATGAAATGAAACAAAAATTACACATTTGAACGTTTTTGTTTATTTTTGTCTTTTGGATATTGCACAGATAGTGTTGCGAGGCTTTGAACCTTTTTCTCTGTGAGCATGCCAACTGTTTCCCTTTCTGCTTCTGAGCACTGGAGATGAATGTTACGTGCCTAGATTTTTATTTCATTTATATTATTGGCACAAGGTGATTTCTTTTCATACTACAAAGTATTAAAGCATGAAGTACAGCCATTTTTACATGTAAAGTTGATACATCTTCCTTGGTTTTCATCTTACTATTGCTTGTATACCTGTCCCACTCCCAAACTACTCACAGCATCATTTGAAGCCATGATTTCTGGCTTTCCAAGAACTGTTATGTCAAGAGGATTTATAAGTCTTTCCTTTGGTTTATTTTTGTTTTGTTTGTTTTTGGGTTTTTTTGAGACAGAATTTTGCTAATAGTACAGGCTGGCCTCAAACTCACAGTAGTCCTCCTGCTCAGTCTCCCCAGTGCTGGATTACAGGTGTGTGCTACCATGTCAGGCAGAAATCATTGCTTTGTGAGGATAGTATTGAAATTTAAGAGATTTAAAAAAAAAAAAAAGTTGTATTCTCTCGAAGCCTTTGCTTTTTTATAGCCCCTTTGTCCTTTATCCTTTGTCCTTTTTACTTTTTTTTTTTTTTTTAGTACCAGAAATTGAACTCAAGAGTGCCTCTGAGCTATGTTACCAGCCCCTCACTTTTTTTCACATTCATATTTTCTCATTCCCTTTGCTTTGTTTTCATTTTTACCAACGATCAATTTTAAAGAAGTATAATAACTTACACCTTTATAATTGGGCCCAAGGTAAGTATAGTGTTTCTTATTATAAAATAGTTCATATCGCTTCTTGGCCTTTTGGCTAAGATCAAGTATAAAATAGTTCAAAAATTTTTTTTAATCTTTTTTTTTTTTTTTTTTTTTGCGGAACTGGGGATTAAACTCAGGCCCTTGCGCTTGCCAGGGAAGTGCTTATTCCATTGAGCCATCTCCCTAGCCCTAAAATAGTTCATTTGTGTGACTAGAACAATATACAGGTTGCATGATGGTTTAATCTCTTTGGCACAGAATTTCTTTAAACCTTGATGGTTTGTTTTGTTTTTCTCTCTGTTCTAATGGGTAGATGACTGTAAAGAAAGAGTGAAGAGTTTTTGACTGTGACATTCTACCTCAAGTGACTGTTTCTGTAGACGGTCACATAGTAAATATTTCAGGTTTATAGCCACTTGGCTTCTGTAGTAACCACTTGACTGTCCAGTCACTCAGTTCTGACACCGTAACACAGAAAGAACCAAGGAAAATATGTAAATGATATAACTGTGTTCTTTTAAAACTTTATTTACAAAACCAGGCAAGGTCAGATTTGACCTTTTAGCCTCTAATTTGGTGATCCATACCATAGACAGGTGATGGTGAACCTTGTAGAGCGTTCAGTGATATAGCCAGCCCACTGCTCCACGAGTGCCTTAGGTTTGCCATCACTGCAGTAGACTAAAGAGCTACCCATTTGAGTTTTGAAAGAATTGTAATTATTCATTGATAACGTAGATTCTTGAGCCTTAATGTTATATTTTCCTCATGAGTCTCCAAAGATTTTATGTAGTTTTTATTTAAGATGCAATGAGCAGTGAATTTTATTAAGGTCTTAACTCTGTAATAGACACTTTAATCTCTTTTAATATATTTTCTCATTTATTTTTAGAATAATCCTAAAAGCAGGTGGTTTTCTTCATTTTATAAACATGTTCTTAAACAATTACTAGAGAAGATGAAGTTAATATCACTTTCCCAGAATATTACTGAAATGTTGAAAGGGAAGGAAGGGGTATAACTGTTCTAAAGCTCTTGAATAAACAATAAGTAACTGAACATAAAATTATCACAGGTGGCCAGGTGTGGTGGTGTATGCCTGTAATCCCAGCACTTGTTACTGAGACAGGAGGATTGCTATGAGTTTGAGATGAGCCTGAGCTACAAAGTGAGCACAAGACCAGCCTGAACTGCATAGCGAAACCCTATCTCATAAAGACCAAAAAAAGAGTACAGGATTAGTTTAAATAAGTGTGGTTATATATTATATGGCAAGACAATCTTTAATTTAAAGAAAAACTCTGCCCAAAATAGAAGACAAATCCCAGACCACGTGAGCTTCTCCCTGCTGCATCTTGGCAGCATCCTGCTTAAGCCAGTGTCTCACCCACTTGCGATCCCCTTGGCTCATCTTAGAAATGCCTCTCAGCTGGTGGTGGAGCCTCGGGGCGGGCCTGGATCCGTCCTTTCCATGTCAGTGCTGTGCTGCTCATTAGCATTGTCTGTGGTGGCCACATGTTTGTGGGACCTTTCCTTATGTCACAGTCAACAGCACAGGAGTGGGCTGGGGATATAGGCTAAGGTACGGAGTGTATTTTCACATTAAATGCTAATGCCAAAGAATGTTTTGACTGTTTTATAATTAATTAATCAGCAAGTTTCCATTTTACTAAACAGTAAACTTTATTAAACAGGTTCAGTATTAATTTATAAGAGAGAGCTGTGTTGAGCCTGTTAATTTTTTTGGGGGATGAGAGAGAATTTTACTGAAATACAGTTTGTAACCTTTTCACGTTTGGTATTAGTCTGTCATGGAAAAACATGTTGATGTTTTCCTGAACTGCTACATTGAAGTGGGGGGTCACTGCGCACTTTTCTTGCTACACTGCACCACTTTACTAGAAGGACAAGCTTAGTGGAGTACACCATTTTTTTCACAACAGGTGCTCCGTTCTCAGGGCTCGCAGTAGAGAACGCTCATTCGTAGCTGGGCAACATGTCCATCTGGGGAGGCTGTGTAGCGGGGTTAGGGCTTATTTCCACGTATGGATGGAGCCGTGGGGACCGCCAGGGAGGCAGGCTGCCTGGTGGGTGCCCTCGCTCACCATCTCTGCTGCACTTGCAGACTGTGCCAGCCTGATGAAGAAGTGTGTGCAGTGCCGGGCCGTGGTGGAGCGCAGGGCACCGTTCATCCTGTGCTGCGGTGGCAAGGGCGCTGAGGACGCCGGTGATGAGCTTGGTGAGCGCAGCTGGGTATTTTCCTTCTTGTTTAGATGTGCATGAGATACAGCCTCATTTAGGGTTTCATGCTCTTGCTGTGTGCTAAAACGTGTAGTGTGGACTTGGACCAAAGAAATAAGCAGGGTTTTCTGGTCCTTCTGTCACAGTGGGTTGTCACCTGAAGTTGCTTTTCTAGGTTGTATGATTGCAGAACTCTGAATGTTGGTCTTCTGAGGAACTTAGATATATGATGTGAAGGATATTGTGGGTTGTGGGGCTTTTGTTTATATTTTTGTTTTGGTACTAGGATTTGCATCTAGGGATACATGCTAAGCAAATGTCCTATTGCTGAGCTACAACCTCAGCTCTTTAATACGAACTTACTTTGAGACAAAGTCTCCCTCAATTGCCCAGGCTGTCTCCAGTCACAACACTTTTGCCTTAATCTCTACCTCAGTGTCCCAAGTAGTGGTGTTCACAGGTGAGCACCACTTTGCCTGGCCCTTTTCTGTGTGTGTGCATGTACGTGCATGTGTGTGTGGTGCTGGGGTCCTATCCAGGGGCTTCATGCGTGCCGAACAAGTGCTGCCCCACTGAGCTTGACCCCAGCCCAATTGAGTGTAGCTGAATGAGGAAAGGACTTCATCTTACAGATTATATTTTTCGCTGTACCAAAGTGCTGACCTGACTTCTTTATGTAGTTAGTGAGTCTGCAAGTTCATGAAAGTAGTTTATATTTTATGAAATAGTAATTATTTGGGACAGGGTAACTGTAGGTAAGTTAAATTGTAACAGTGAACAGGTAGAAGAGTGAACGATAATATACTGTTTCCCTTCCCTATGGCCTTTTTTATTTTTAATTTTTTTCAGGACTAGGGATTGAACCTAGGTCCTTGCTTATGCTGGGTGAGTGTCCTCCCAAATAGCTATTCGCCTAACCTCTACCTTTAAGCTTTCAATAGATAAACTTTTTTTTTTTTTTTTTTCAGAACCGGGGATTGAACTCAGACCCTTGCGCTTGCCAGGGAAGCGCTTATTCCACTGAGCCATCTCCCCGGCCCCTCAATAGTTCAACTTTAAGAATAATTTTTTGTCTTGATAGTGGGTACTGACTAGATGGTTTCTTGATTTCTTTATTCTTTAAACATGCTTCATGAAAAAGTAAACATTATTGTATCTATTTCTGCCCAAAGCTTTTGTCTTTTTCATTAAGAGAGCAAAAATACCAGGGACAAACTAATTGAAATGAAAACCAAGAGTAGTAAATGTGAAATCAAAGGTTACCTTTCATTTTGTGGACTATCTTAATCATAATCTTCAAATCTCAGATAAATAACAAGAAGGAAACTTGGGCATAAAGAAAGAAGTTTTGCTTCATAAAAATAGCATGAGAATATTATTTAGTACTGCCAGAACTCTGCTACCTATCTTCTTTTTTTTTTTCCTATCTTCTTGAAGGCAGAAAAACACTTTGTCACTTCATTTTTTTTTTTTTTTTTTTTTTTTTTTTTTTGGGCATTGTGATCTTACCAGAGGTAGCAAGTAGAATGTTGACAAACCTGTGTATGTGTGGACTTTTTGGTCTGACTGGGTTTAATTTAACTAGGAATTAATGTGAAACCTTTATCTTTGGAAGATTATAATGAAGGAGTGTAACATGAATGTCACTACTATATCTACTGTCGTGATAGTCTTTTAATGAAATAGTAATGTTTGAAGTAAAGTTATTATGTCAAAACAATAATAATAAAAAAACTAACTGTATTTTAGCAAGTGGGAATATTCCAGTGTTACAAAAGGACAAGGATAATACCAATGTCAACGCAGATGTGCAGAAGTTACAGCAACAGTTACAGGACATTAAGGAACAGGTAATGATTTTGTTATGTGAAATAATGATTTTTGGAATGATAATCTTTTTTTCTAAAACTAGTAGTATTTTTACTAGTAAATATGGTTTATAGTAGTGTATCATTTGTAGTATTTGAATATTCGCAAAGTAATAATATGACTAGGTGATTTACTCAGATATTTTCCAAAACAGGAAATACAAATGATCAGTAAACATGAAAGCATGTCCAGCTGCGTTAGTGACTGGGAGATGAAAATTAAAATCACGATGCGGAGGGCCGGTAGAGGCAGCTCAGCGGTCTAAGTGCCTGCCTGACAAGCACAAGGACCTGGGTTTGATCCCTGGCATCACATGCTGTGCTGGCCCCAGAACCCTAAGCATGCAGAACCAGCCACCAAAACTGGGTGTGGTGGCACACACCTGTAATCCTAGCACTGGGGAGACTGAGGCAGGAGGATCACCATGAGTCCAAGCTGTGTAGCAAGACCCTTTATCAAATAAACTAAAATAAAATCATGGTATGGAGCCCTTGCAAAACTGCAAGACCAAGGAGAGTCCTCAAAACTGTTGGTGTTGGGTGTGATGTAGACGGTGGCAGCTGCCTCTCTGGAGCAACTAGTGGGAGTACAACTTAGTAAGAAGACTTGGAAAATACTCCGTGATTATCCAGTAAAACTACCCAGGATATTGTTCAGGAATATAGACTGGGGGTGGGGTGGGGAGTCACTCAGGTGGTAGTTCAAATCAGTGGTGGTGGGGTTAAGGCTGGGGAAAGGGCCTGGGGGAGGTTTCTAGAGCTGCTTCATGTATTGGGTCAGATTGTGAGCTTTCATGGTTTGTGTGCATTTCTGCATATATGTGATGCTTTAGTAGAAAGGAAGAAAGAGGTTGTGTGTGTGTGTGTGTGTGTGTGTGTGTGTGTGTGTGTGTGTGAAAGAGAGAACGTGCATGCATGTGTGTGTGTGTAAAAGCAAGGGGAGGATAAATGCAGAATGGAGAGTGGGGTAGATGGGAAGGGATTTGGAGGATTTGGGAGAAGCTTCAAAAATGAGGTTAGCATAAGCTAGGTGTTGGTTATATTGTTCTGTGTGTGAGTGCGCGCGCGTGTGCGTGCACAGAAGTGCTATTTTCTCTCTGTTCAGTATTAAACCAAAACAGCAATGAAATAAATGGCTGATAGAAGGTGAGGACGCGTGGTACAACTGACCAGTGGTCTGACCAGGCTCAGAGCTGGAGCGACAAGGCCACGTCAGTACCTTGTGCACATGGTGGAGTGCTCCCTCAGATGTGCTGCCTGTGTTTATGAGTGTAACAAAGGCAGCAGATAGTAACTGATTTAAAGTGAGTATTTCATTTACTAGGCATTCAAATACCTGTCTGAAGAGATGAAAGCGTTATGAAGGACGGTTTTTCTTGTGAAATCCAGCATTTTTCAGTACTTACTATATCATTAAATAAATTAAGTAAAGATTAAAAGTTCTTGAGTCAGTGGAAGCATATTTGGCATATCTGATATAAAATGAATCATTTCTAAAAGCTGGAAGTTCCTGGCATCTTTGTTCCTTCTCCATATGAACACTCTGTGTGAAAGATGAAGCTAATTGTTAACGTATCTCACAAAATCACTTTCTCTTCTGTCTGTGAACTTTGTTGTGTGGGAATGGAACTATGCCTGGCCGTAGTAGGCAAGGAATCACCTCCTCTGCTCTTTAAATTATTGTTGCAGTGAATAATGAGACCTGCTGAGTCCTATTAAGTTTAGCATCCTAAAATTTCCTGTGTTCTTCCTTAAAAGTCCAAATCACTGAAGGGATAATGGGTTGATATAGGTTAAGATATGTTAAATGCACCATTTCCTCAAATGGACCTCTTTGTGATCTAATATTAGCATATACTAATAAAATTAAAAGTAAAATTAAAAATCGCATCATCATGAGATGGTGTATCTTGTCTTTTTTTGTCTCTGATAGACAAAGCGTAATTTTACTTGTTATTAAGGATTGATTAAAGTAACAAGATATAATTTTTCTATGGTTTTGCTTCAAAATTTAGAACAGCTCCCCTGGAGGGCATGGCAGACAATGTTAGGCTCTGGTTTCTTTTTTTTACAATGCTCTCTTACATGGTCAGAGTTGGCAACTACATTATTACATTGATTTCAAGTTTACTAATCTAGGCATTCCTATGTATTGTTTGGGAAAGATACTCAGAGTGAGACATAAAGGTAAAGTATGTTTTTATAAATGTATATTCGGTGAATCTGTCTGACTTCCTAGAGTGTTTTCACAGAAGTAGACCTCACATACTGCTAGCTTCCGAGTGTATGAGGGTCATACTTAACTGATTCAGCACTTATTAACCTGCGCAGCAGGGTGGCAGGACAGGGCAGAGCAGCAGGGTGGTCCAGAGAACCCCAGCTGCCTGGAGGAAGTGGACCAGGAAGCCACAATGTCCCCAGTAGGAAGCAGTGTGGCCTGGCACAGAGACTGGACAGTGGAGTGCAGGCCTCACTGTCCACACCCTGGCTGCGTGGTGCGCAGTGCTCTTCGCAGTCTGCAGGGCCGAGTATGGGCAGGCTGTCTGTGTCTGCTTCACACCTCTGTGGCCACAGCTTGTGTTTTACATAGGCTTCATTTTATGTACTACCTTTTATGCTACTATGAAAGGACAAACAGTATTTCTATTTTGTAGGGATGGCTTTTTAACTATTTAAAATTTTTGAAACCTAGTTTGAGAAAGCACCAAAATACTTGACTAAAAGAACAAAAGAAGGGCTGGTGAGATGGCTCAGTGGTCTAAAGCACCTACTTAGAACAAGCTAAGCTAAGCAAAAGCACAGTGACCGCGGTTCTAATCCCCAGCACCACATGCCAGCCAGCCCCGCCCCCTGGTGGGCTGAGCTGACCACACACACACACACACAAAATAAATAAATAAATTAAAAAAAAAAAAAGAACAAAAGAAAAGCTGGGCACAGCGGGCAAAGGTCTTTAATTCCAGCCTCCTCAACTCAGGAGACTGAAGCAGGATTGTTGCGAGTTCCAGGCCAGCCTGGACTACAAAGTGAGCTCAAGGCCATCCTGAACTGCGTAGTCATTGTCTCAAAAAGACAGAAAGAAAAAGAAAAAGATAATGATGTAACGATTGTCATGTGTTACATTTTCAAAATATAAAATGCCTGAGCATTTACTGTTTCATCATCTCTTGTGACAGACAATGTGCCCTGTGTGTCTGGATCGTCTGAAGAATATGATCTTCCTCTGTGGCCATGGAACGTGCCAGCTCTGTGGAGACCGCATGAGTGAATGTCCCATTTGTCGCAAGGCTATTGAACGAAGGATCCTTCTGTACTAAGAAACAGTGTTTGGCTAGCCAGAGTATGTGGTTATGAGTCTTAGATTTTAAGCAAGTTGGAAGTTGTAATGAATTAGTTTCTAATATCATAGTTTCTTTTCTAGGGTATGAGACTGTAAATATACCAGAACAAAATATCCCTACAAAAAAACTGTTTGAAATAGAAGTATTGTGGGGGCTTTTTTATTTGGAGGGAGGGAAGGTTTTTTTTTTAAAAAAAAAATTGAAACATCATATGTAATTTACTTTTGGCTTTCAAAAGAAAGGGAAAGCCTTTGAGGAGATCCTTTTGTGTTTTTATTATAGTTTTTTCCTATAGATTATAAATTCATTAGACCTCAAAAGATATAATTTCATATGATCAGTTACCCTTCAGTTTATTATGATTTTTCACAATAAAATTACCCAAGTACCCTGGAAAGTCATGCATGAAGTGAAAGGAGCCTATTGTACTACTGTGTCACATACTTCGTGATGTGATGACACAGGCTGTGCACAGTGAAGGGGATATTGAAGGTTTTTATTTTTAAGATAAATTATCTAAATGTTTCTGAATTATTAGAGGAATGCAAGCATAGACTTCTAATGACTTTGTATTTAGCTTATTTAACATGAATCAAATTACCAGTTTCAAAATGACTGATATGAAGAGGAAGAACTAAGCTATCGTAGTGGAGAATTGAAGGGAGCAAAAACAATAAAAGAAGTGTTCACATTGATAGTCACATCTTACATTAATGCATACACTGCTTGGTTCAGTTGCACTGTAAGAAGCTCTATAGGAGGTGTCCTTGGGTGTCCTGTGTGGATGCCCCGGCTTGGCCTGCGTAGCGCAGCAGCATTGTGTCTGGGTGCTGCTCCATGTGCTGGCAGCGGTCTCTCATGTGTGTCCCTCCTGGCAGCATCATGGGTCTGCCTTCCTGGGGACCTTACTTCATTCTCAGATAGTGGCTCGTACTGTAAAGAAAAGGGTCTCTTTATACCAAACAGATGAAGATATTATTTAAACTGCCAGAAATATCTAAGATACTGTAAATAACCTCATAGTAGATATTACTAAAAATGTCAGACCCTTTATAAAAATATGTCTGATTACCTTTAGATTTTTTTGTTTTTGTTGTGTGGAGAGGTACCCTGTGGCTGAACAGCACCTATCTGATCAGTTTTTCTCCTTCACTTGCAATCTTTTATGACTAGGGTGAATATATACACCTAATGAGGAATTTGTGGGTTTCTTGCTGCTAGATTATATATAAAATGAATCAGTTGTTTTTAATATTTTCTACATAATCTGTGTAAGTTCACTCCTAACTGGAATGATCTTTCTCTAGTGTTTTCCCCTTTTAAATCTAGATAGCATTTATTTCAGTTTTTCTGAAACAAAACCAATATAACATGTCACTGGGTGTAGTGGCACATGCCTACAATGTCAGCACTCGGGGAGGCTAAGACAGGAGGATCTAAGTTTGAGGCCAGCCTGGGCTACAAAGTGAGTTCAAGCCCAGCCTGAACTATATATATATAGTGAGACTCTGTATCAAAAAAACAAAAACAACAAAGCCATGATGTCTAACCATAGCACTGTGTTCCTGCCCACCTAATTGCTCCTGCTTTCGCCAGTCTCACTGGCAGCAGTATGAAGCTCTGGTGGCAGCTTTTGTAGTCTTAGAAATTCCATGTGTTTGTTTATCTGAAAGATTAGCATTTTGGGGGCTGGTGAGATGGCTCAGTGGTCTAAAGCACCTACTTGGAACAAGCTTGGCAAAGCACAGGGACCGCGGTTCAATCCCCCAGCACCACATGCCTGCCAGCCCCGCCCCCTGGTGGGCTGAGCTGGCCACACACACACAATAAATAAATGTTTAAAAAAAAAGATTAGCATTTTGAACAGTAAAATTTTGAAATTTGAAACTTTATATTGACTCTTCAATAAGGGGCCACTGAAGCTATCTTAAAGTTTATTTTGAAGTTATGAAAAGATCTGATTGATAAAGACACATAAAGAGGCTGCTTCCTGCAGACCTAGACAGTGGAGTCAGGGTGCTTCCTGTGTGCCGCGGCCCACCCCTCCACCAGGTAGAGAGGAGGCAGCTGGCCAACTAGAGCAGCGCAGCCACAGCTGTGTTTCACATCAGTCCCTTTCTTTTGTCTTCTGATTTTTGGTCCCAAAAGGCAGTAATGTTTTACAGACTAATTCCACATAATAAAAAGATAGCTTCTGTTATAGTGTTATAAAGTCCCTATTCCATACTTGTGGATTTTCTCTCTTTGTGTCACTTTGAAATTTGCTTTATGAATAGAAACTTTGTAGTCGTGTTTTTAAGCACCTAAAGTTGTTTTGAGTTTTCAAGAAAAAACTACCTCTTTTTACTCACTTCTCAGCAGTGCTTTGCCACTTAGGTGTTTCCCCCTTGATGTCTAAAGCTCTTTATCCATGGGCTGGGGAGACAGCTCAGTGGCATAAGCGCCTGCCTGGCAAGCATAAGGTCCTGGGTTCTGCTATCCCCCATACAGAAAAGAAAGAAAGAAAGAAAGAAAGAAAGAAAGAAAGAAAGAAAGAAAGAAAGAAAGAAAGAAGCCTTTTTATTCTGTGTCTCTAGAGAGTTTTTACCTTTCCTAGAGTCATTTTTTAAAATGACATGCACTTATTCAAAAAATGTATTAATTGGGCTTCAAGGACTGGTACCCAACATTGGAGGAAAAAAGAAAAGAACCTCAGAGCACACTCACAGTGTACTGTGTGCTTATAGTTGTGTATCTGCAGTCCTCTTGGGACAGAGGAGGAGCGATGCAAAGGCACTGTGGGGTCACTGATGCCTGGACCCCTCTGTGCCCCTCACCTATCACCTCCTGTTCTCTGGAGATGTCTCTAAGCTGTCACCCAAGCACACATGGCTTACCAGCAGTGCTGTCCTAACCGTACTTGTTCACACATGTGAACATTCTTGCTTATATTGTATATATAGTTAATTTCCTTGGTAGTAAGATTCTCAAGAGGAGATTATTTTGTATTAGTGTAAGAATACTAAATTAGACAAGTATTTAGTTTATGCTGGTCAAATCATGATTACTTAGGGGCTGCAAATGTAGCTTGGCAGTACAGCGCCTGCCTGGCAAGCACAGGGTTCTGAGTTTGATTCCTGGCACACACACAAAAAAAAAACACAAAAAAAACAAAACAAAAAAACAAAACAAAACGATTAAGCATTGCAATTGAACCAGCTAGCTGTGGAGGCATAAATTGATTGACAGATAATGTTGGAAATAACTTTGATAGATTTTGATAGATTTTATTTCTGTTGGATTTACTTGTAAGAACATATTGAGGTGCACACTGCTTATGCTTTGAGCAGTTCCAATTTCAAAGCCTTCTGGGTTTTATACACCAGAACTGTCCTGCCTAGTATTGTGTTTTTGTTTTATTTTGAATTCTGGGTGATCTTTGGGCTCAGAATGAAGCTTATACACCAAGAAGTTTGGGCTGGGGCTGGCTCAGGCCAGGACACTGGGGTGCAGCAGGTAGGAAGCAGAAAGTCAGTGTTGATGTGCGGAAGAGCGAGGCTCGTGTTTGTTCCCTCCGAGTGTCGGTGGGGTGCATTTAGCTGAATAATAAAAAGTGTACTTTACCAGTTGGGTTTCAGTATAGTTTAATGGATGGTTTTTTTTGTAATTATAGACTTTACTACAGCTTGCTTTTTTATAATCCAAAAGGAAAAGCACTTATCCTTTCAGAGTGTCTAAAATGTTTTATAATAATACTTTCTGTAAAAATTGAATTTTGGAATAGATGTTTTTGCATTTTTGTATTGTGGTTTAAAAAAATTACAAAAATTGCCGTTTTACCTGTTAAGTATACAGTTTGGTAGTGTTAGTGATACATTCACATTGTTGTGAAACAGATCTCGAGAGAACTTTATCTTGAAAACTGTACCCATTAAATAACTCCTTCCCCTTCCCTTCTAGTAGAATAGAATTTTAACCAGACACAAATCAGACACCTGAATTATTCACTAGCTGTGTTTGTAGGATCTAAAGTTGTGGGAAACACCACACTCCTGAAATAGGGGGAAGGGGCAGCGTCTCTCCCCTTCTCAGCAGTTGTCAGTCATAACTGGACAGGCTTTAAATGTCTTAATCAGAGTATTTCAACTTAAATCAAGGGAGAGCAACACATTTTAAATATCAGAATTGTTAGCTTTGAATTGATACTGAATTGGGAAGATACTAGATTTTCATAAAGGATGTGTGCCTTGTTGAAAATGTCGGTTGTCTTGTAAGTCTCAGAGTTTCAGAGATGATAGCTTAATTTCACGTGCTTGAGTATTACGATAGGAATGCTGGCTGATATACTTGATTATATATATGTATATATCCTTGGAACTTTAGCATATAATGATAGCAGTATTAATAGATGTACTTTACAATACTGAATTTGAGGACACTGTGGAATGCTGTCTCGTGTCCTTGGGGTTGAGGCAGCGCACAGTAGTGGTGGATGACCCTACATGACAGATGGGAACCAAACAGCAGAGCTGATGAATTTGAATTGTACATTGCACATTGCTATGTTGGCCTTTTCTACCTCCTTTTCTGTCGGGGTATTACTTTTTCCAGCATTTATTCTTTTGTGAATAAGGAAGAAATGGGAGCCGGAGGTTAGAGTTAAAAGCATTGTTTTGTTGAAAATTCAAGTGCAGTGAGTACAGAGAAGTGATTTTCCTGCCCATTTGTTGCCTGAATCTGCAGCTAGAAGTTATCATAGACAGAATATCCAAGAAAGGTGATGTTGCTGAATAGTATAATTTTCCTGTATGGTTCTCTTGATTTTGTTATGCAAACATGATTTGTTTCCTCCAAAAGCAGAAGGGCCTTGTAAATTGGGGTGGGGATGTTATTTTTAATAAAACAAACATACTGTTTTGTCTGAGACGCATAATTTCAGGAAGCTATTGACAGTTCTGACTCAGGGCTTTTTAACAGTTTAAGCAATTGTTAATTATGTTTTGTAAATTCCATCTACATAATTCCGTAGTGCCTTCAAAGAATTATTAGCTTGGCAGCACCA